TAAGGAAATGTGAGAGGTGAAATTTTCAGAAAAATCATGTTTTGCGTTTTCCAGAAACGTCTAACCTACCATCGACCGTGAGTCACGCTGTATATGCTTCAGAAAATATATTATCCGTGTACAGTATTTTTGAAAATTTCATATTGTATTCCCAAGATTTTATAATACGTTATTATTGCATATGAACTGAATTATTGATGATTTCATTGAAATATTTTCACACCATTACATCAATAGAAGAATTTCAAAAGAAATCATTAAAAATATTTGATCATGCTGGCGTAGCATTAATTTTAGTTTCATGTATTTCCTGTCATGAACTTTTTCAAATTTGTTACCAATAGTCTTTATTTGTTTCAGAACCGATATCCCGATATGAACAACTCAGACTTCTACTATTGGAGCCTGTCCAATGCGACCTACTTCAATGTAGAAAATGTGTCGAATACCAGTTCAGAATATCAAGACGCTTGGAGAAAATGGACAGTACTCATTCAAGACCGTGCTGTAGTCGTGAGCCTGTTATTATTGTTCTCCATGTGCACGGTTTTTGGAAATATGTTGGTGATCTTAGCCGTCATAAGAGAGAGATACCTTCACACGCCAACGAACTATTTCATAACTTCTCTAGCTGTTGCGGATTGCCTAGTGGGCTTAGTTGTTATGCCTTTTAGTGCTCTCTACGAAGTTTTGGGACACACCTGGTTTTTCGGAGCTGATTTATGTGACGTTTGGAGAAGCTTGGACGTTTTGTTCAGTACGGCTTCGATACTGAATCTTTGTGTTATATCGTTGGACAGATACTGGGCTATAACCGACCCAATAACTTATCCAATGCGTATGACGAAGTTCCGATCGATGTTTTTGATAGCTGCAGTTTGGGTTTGCAGCAGTGCGATTTCGTTCCCAGCCATAGGGTGGTGGAGAGCAGTGAGAAATGCTCCGATTCCGCCATTTCAGTGCCCTTTCACAGAACACTTGGGATATCTGATTTTTTCCTCAACGATATCTTTCTACTTACCTCTATTCGTCATGTTGTTCACCTATTTCAGAATATACAGAGCAGCGGCTGCTCAGACTAGATCTCTCAGACTTGGTACAAAGCAAATCCTGTTGGGTTCTGGGGAACTGGAACTGACCCTGAGGATACACCGAGGTGGGGCTTGCAAAACCCCAGAGACAAGACTGTATTCAACTCAAGAGGACGAACCACTGACAGCTCTTCAAAATAACGGACTCTCGCGAATGGCTTCGACTCGTCTCAATTCTCACAACAAGAACTTTTCGTTGAGCAGAAAGTTAGCCAAATTCGCGAAAGAAAAAAAAGCCGCTAAGACATTGGGAATAGTGATGGGGGTATTTGTGATATGTTGGCTTCCTTTCTTCGTAGTGAACTTATTGTCGGGGTTCTGCATACAGTGTATCAGTCACGAAAAAGTTGTGCTAGCAGTGGTTACATGGTTGGGATGGATAAACTCCAGCATGAATCCAGTTATCTATGCCTGCTGGAGTAGAGATTTTAGAAGGTAAGTCATAAATATTGATGTGCATGTATTGATGGAAATTATCTTTTGCTGTCTTGAAGACCCTCTGTGAGATGAAACTACACTAGAAAAATCAAATTGTTTCTATTCATTGTCAAAACACACTTATTCCAAAAATTTCTGAGCCAAAAGTCAAAAACGGGATTTTCGAATACTCACTGAGGAAACAAATATTATCTCGTTCTATGATGTTTTTCTCGAAACTGACTTTCATTCTAACGGCCTTTCATCGCATCGTCTTACTGCTACCAAATTCTGAAGAGTTTCATCATTGCCTCACGAAACTGCACAAGTCAAACAAATGTATTGCAATGCAGTTTTTGTACTTGTATTTTGTTAGCTAATGGAACAGTCTAGAAATTGTATTTTTTGATATTCTAACATGACAAGAAAAATCCACAATAGTTGAATGTGGATATCCATGCACCATGAAAAAACTCATTGTATGCTTTCATCTAGAGCAGGAAAATTCGACCTTGGACCCAGGCTCATATGGGCCTGATATTGCAAAATTTGTTTTTAATGCTGTTAACTATCATATGAGACGTCGCGTCGGTTTGGATGACTTTAAATGAACAAAATACAAATTAGTTCATACAGCCGACACCTATTTCCAAACATGATGCAATGAATAAGTTGACAAGCATTTTTCCGAAATATTCTTGCTCCGGAACTGTTGGCGTAACTTTCATTTGGAACTAATTATTTTTCAATTTCTGAAAAATGAAGAATCGGGAATATCAACTTGGATCACCGTCTAATACATGATGATGATGATCAACTTTTCTTTTTGTTGTGGGTACTTCAATTCATCCTACAAAAAAGTGTATTTAGTTTTCGTTGGAGGACTGTCTGAGTTGAGAGTTTCGTGGTGGACGTGGCAATAGATCATGACATTCATGGTTTCGAGGTATTTCCAGGAAGAGATCCGACCCAAGTATCAGCTTCATCTCGTGAACAAATCCCCAAGCGGGGAAGGAACATCCCGTGTACAGTAGTCTAACAGACATCGAACCGTATATCGAGGAGAGATACATATATACGTATAGTCGAAGTAAACGATATTGTGCATACTTAAAGTAGTAGGCACTCTCAAAGGCCAAAAAAACCAATACATGAAAATAAACCAGCTGCGAAGTAGTCCACGTGGACCGTAGAATTGGCGGTTCGTATTGGATAATTTTTACTAACCGAGTTTTATGATTGCCTGAAGAGTCATAAAATTAAATTTGAAGTCATGTTACGGTGAAGAATAGAATGCGAGCCGTCGTGTTGTCAATATTCAGTTCAAGAACTGATCGCGACTTGAGTATTGAAATTCGATATTGGTGCAGTTATTATCACTCAAAATTTTTGTTACCTGTTTAAAATGGACAAGTACTAATAGTAAAAACGAGTGTGATAACAACGCAGCTTTTTCCAGTGTAGTGATTCCATAGCGATGATGAACACTGCGACAAAGAGATACCAGCGAATAAGATTCGAATGCATTTGAATATTGTAACACAGAGATAATGTTTCAATGTATATAAGAATTTACATCTCAAGTTTGATTTCGAGGGAAACAAACTATCACAAGCAACATCAAATTTGACCGAAATTCCTTTCTCAAATGTACGTAAAATAGTCAAAAATAAACCTTATGAACGCAAAACGCGATGTGATACAGGATTACCAAAACCTCCAGATGTTCATCTAACAAAATCATTGAAAAAAAACACTATACGACTGAGACAAAAGCAATAAGATTTCTACAACTAAAATCATAAGGAAGAAATTGAATACTTCCGATCATAACGTGAGCTGCTGTGACAAAACTCTTCAGAATTGGATAGATAAAGAAATTAGGATTTAGATTCAAAATGATAAACAAACGTCAAGCAGTTATCGAAAGCAGAAGAATAGTGGCATTGCTTAGCAAATACTTAGAACAAATAACTAAATATAGACAAGAACAACGGCCAATTTTCCATTTGGACGGAACTTGGTATGAAACTCACGACACAGTTACGAAATGGTGGACTGATGGTTCGAGAATGTGTGCGCCTAAGATGCCTGCAAACAATGGATCGCGACTTATCATTGTGCATTGCGGAGGAAGTAAAGGATGGGTTCTGAATTCTTCGAAATTATGTGGTAAAAAACTTGAGGACTGCTATGTTGACTATCACAAGAACATGTAAGCTAATATTTTCGAGGATTGGTTTGGAGACACATCGATCCCAAATTTGGATGCGAATAGTATAATAGTTTTTGACAACGCTTTCTATCATTCGTGACAGTTCATCGAAGTACCGAATAAAAATTCGAGGAAAGACGAAATACAGTAGGTTTTTTAATGGATAACAATTTGTTCTTTGAAGATTACGATACCAAAAACCAACTACTTGAACTTTAATAGACAAAAACATTTGAAAAAGTATGCCCTTGAGAGTGTAGCTGAAAAGTATGGACACACCATACTGAGACTTCCCCTCTATGTTTGTGTTTTCAATCCCATCGAGTACATTCGGGGAAAATTGAAGCAAAGCATCAGGGGTAAAAATTATTTTCCAAAATTTGATAAGAAGGTAATAGAGTTAATTGAAGAAGAAATGTCTCCTATTACCGAAGAAGACTGGCAAAAAAGGATCAAAACAGTAATTTTAGTTGAAAAAGACTATATGAAGATAGGACACTTCCATATTAATGGTGGAAATAAATTCATTATTGATTTAAATGACGACAGTGATAGTGATTCTGAGAATATGGAAGAGAAATTATCAGAAGCTTTCGAAGAAAGTTAGTGAAGTGTTTTTGAAGCGACAGATTGTATATATATATGTGAGTAGTATTCGAAAGCATTTTATTTTCACTTATCACCCTGTTTGAATCCCTACTTTCCCACTCACCTATAAACGAAATATTTATTATATATTTGTTTATCAATTAAACGGGTAAATATTTGGGTAAGCACCAATTGAGAAAGTGTACTCTTTTAACAATATATTCCAATCATTTCGACAATGTATACTGTCATCCTCAGGGAAAACTACAGTAATTGAACATAAGACTAATTGCTATTGTACAGTTGAAAATTGTGTACTTACATTGTCATTGAGGTTGGACTCAGTGATGTTTAAAATAATTTTTGTTATTATTTGATTTTAATGTTGAACTTAGATTTGAGGAATGGGAAAACATTGAAATTAGTTTGGATAGTGATTCAAGAATGATTATAGTTACACATCAAACAATTAAACATATAAACGTCAAATTTGGTGAAATTATTGTGAATCTAATGAATAAATTCCTTTTTTTATTCTAAAATTCTGATTTTGTACCAGGCCGGTACATGTGATCACAAAATAGGTTATAATACTAATTTTGAATGACAATGGAGAAGACGAAATAAATGACATGACAGTTCAGAAAAAAATTACATTGTTGGATTCAGTATTGCCAAACTTTCATCCTATACAGGAATGCCAATTTGATTATGATTATTTTATGTACTATACTGGACTGGATTGTGATATGAAAGACATTTCAAGAAAAAGTCTCTTTGTAAGGTTAGATTCTTCTGATAAAATCCTTACATTATTATAGTTCATATTAGGCCCTGTTTGATTAAAATGTTCGCCTAAGGCACATCTATGTGGGGC